GGCCGAGGAGGAAGAGGCAGCCGTCGACTTGGCCGCAGGTCTGGCCGTTGGGATACTGGTGGGCCGGGTTGCAGCTATATCGTCCCTTGCTATCGGTCGAGCCGGCAGCAGGGCAGGCGGCGGTGGTTTCGGTGGGCTGAGCAGCAGTAGTGGCAGGGCTGTTGTTGACAGGCTTGCCATCAGGGCCAAGGAGGTAGGGGCAGCCGTCGACTTCGCCGCAGGTCTGGCCGTTGGGATACTGGTGGGCCGGGTTGCAGCTATATCGTCCCTTGCTATCGGTCGAGCCGGCAGCAGGGCAGGCGGCAGCAGTCTGGCTGGGCTGGGCTGGGCTGTTGTCCACGGGCTTTCCATCAGGGCCGACGAGGAAGGGGCACCCGTCGACGACGGCGCAAGTCTGGCCGTTGGGATACTGATGAGCCAGGTTGCAGCTATAACGGCCCTGGCTATCAGTCGAGCCGGCGGCGGGGCAGTCGGCGGCGGCCACGGCGGTGGCGCCAACAAGAGTTGCGATGAACGAGGCCTTCATTTTGAATTGGGATGGATCAGCTTGTTCTGTGAGCGAGTGAATATGTCTTTTCAGAAACGACTGCGAGTTGTTGATGGGGAAGCTACCTTGGCTGGAGGGCATGCCGTGGCCGAGCCTCGATATATATACATAACTCGCCCTATACACATGTATCTGGGCCGACGACCCGGCCGACGAGCTGTCCCCCACGTTTTGCCGCATGCCGGCCCTGGATAGTCGGAGTGGCCGGATGTTTTGATCACGGTGCTAAACGACAGTGACTATACGGTAGGAAGGGTGGGTTTCTGATGTCACATAGTCGTGAGGATGACGGGTCGTGTTCCGAAAACAACATGTATACGAAACCGCACGGCCAATTAAACCCAGCCTGGTGGTATCATGGCCTTGGCCACGCTGTGGATATAATGCGCTCTTGTCCCAGATCGGTCTGGTGTCTTTGATCAACAATACGGCGCCGGGGAGAGACAGAAACAAAGGCTAGCGCACTCCCTCTGGCAAGACACTAGGCCAGGAGCGCATGCCAAATTCCAGGGCTGGTTGAAGACGAAGCCGTCGGTGGATGTAGCCGCCGGCTGTTGTTGTTTTGTTGTTGTTGCCATTGTGATCATGTCTCATCCCACGATGCCGTTCCTTGGAGCACGTTGCCCGCACGCGGCCTTGTCAAGGGCGTATTTGCTGAAATCCTTTCATTTAGGAATACGAGGCAAAGCATCGGAATTGTCCCCACCGCAAGTCTTCACCATCATCAGACGATGACGCATGGATGTCCGAGTATTTGCTGGACCCGAGCTCGATTAAGCTTTTCATGGTTGCCCTGAGCTTCAGCCCATTCATCCTCCCCGGTCGTCAATGACGCCAAGTCGCCTTCCATTTCAGAGGGGAAAACCTTCGTATAGCACAGATGGCTCTCTGGCTTATTCGACTGGGCGACCATGGCCCCTTGCTGTCGGTATTCGTGTGTGCGGAGTTGTCAAGGAACGCGGACGGCAGGGACAACTTGTATCGGCCAATGAGACGGCGCGGCCAACCGAGCCCTCGATCGGTTAAGTGTTCCCGCCCCAGCCCCGCAGACCGGTCGTAGTTGGCCCGAGCATGAAAATCGCCACAGGCGTGGTTTAGCGCGCGAAGCGGTTTCCCGAGTTCGTTCCTTGTCGAGTGAGTCGTTGACTATAATTGGCTAGCGCAACTGGTTCGACTGCGAACACTACTCCCATCATCTTTGGCTGCTTGGTAAGGCGTAAGGGAACTTGGGCAACCTACATGCCCTTATTCAAACATTGGTTCCATCAGCCTCTACCATGGATCCTAGGTTCCTCATATAAAATCATCCAGGGGGTTGCACGGCAAAATTAATTTAAAAGGAACGGGAGGGACGTGCCTCGTGATAAATTAATATGGGGCATGCTTGCAGCCAAGCAATCGCACGTGTCAGAACAAGTGGAAAAGCGGGTCACATCTTGCCCGCAAGTTGAGAAGACCCTGTGTGTGAATCTCACGATTCTGAACATTCCTTGACGCAATTCCTCGATTTAGTAATCAATGTTCCTGCATTCTTGGACACTCACACGCCGAGCCTTTTGCGGGCACGCTTTGCTCATGAGCCGGATTCCAGTGGCCGGACCGAGACATATACCGTGAGACAAAGATATAAAGGCAATGCAAAGCTGCAAACATGGAAGCAATGGATGAGCGACTACGTTGCGGACCAACATGCCACCAGCCATGTCCTCGTTTTCCAGCACCAACTCGCCCGTTTTACCATGAGGCAGCAGCTGTGCGCGGTGCCTGCAAAACGCTATGATGCGAGGCTTTGGCTAGTCTATTTTCACTGTGGTCCTTCGTATCCAGCGGTGCTATGATGCTAACCGTCCAGCTGAGCGCTCTAGCTTATAGCAGCTATGGCCTTCTGTCCAGCTGGAAATATGGGGATGGCGGCGCTATTCCCGTGCGTAGTTCGTATATTATGGATGCGCTGGCCTGAGTGAGGACCTGAGCCAATTGGTGTATATTCGAGGGTTCTTCAGCCTTGCAATGTTTGGAACGTTACATGTCTAGTCTTGACCTGACGTCCCACCTGCCCCTGGAATTCTTGTCTTCCTCCAATATACATACATAGCTGAAGTGCTTTGGGGCTTTGGGTATTGGCGGGTCTTTCCACGTCGATGACGGCCAGTTGCCTGCCGCGGAGATGGGCTCCAGGCTCTTCGAGAATGTTGCCCGGTTGTCGACAGTGCATTGCGTCTATTCTATTTTTATATTTATTTCTTTCCTTTTCATTAAACCTGTTGCAGTCCCGTTCCCCTACCAAAAAATATGGCAGCTTACCTCGTCTGGGCCAATAGTACCGTGGTAGGTATATCGGGCAAACGGAATCATACGGGCTGGTGAAACCAAGCAAGCAATGCTTCTATCTGGGAGGCCAAACGTACCCGTCGGTGCCAATTACTACAGTTTTCTTATTAGTAACTCCATCAAATCCCAGGCAGGCTCCGTTCTCGAGCAACTTCTTTACGGTCAACAAGTCATTGATAGTAAGATTCCCAAAAGCTTCAATCATCTCACTCACTCAAGCTAGTTAACTGCGACAAGGGCTCAGTAGAGAGCTTGGAGTAATAGCTCAATGGAGCTAATAACAGTCTTCGGTATCGTAGGTCATTAGGACCAAATGGTCTTGTTCACACAAAGCGGCGGTTCCTCGAGCCCTAGAGTCTCGCGATCAGTCCCCTCGTGTAAGACCTGTGTGATATGAACAACCTGAAGTCTGGACTTTTCGATCAGCCATAAAATTGGTCTTCAATTCTATATCAAGATAGATTCATTCATGGACCGTGCCACGAAGAACTAATAGCTAAACATGAAGTGATACTTGCTGTCAGCTGGTGGTCGTTCATCGCAGCGTGTCATAACCGTTCCTAAACTGGCCAAGATCACTGACACTTTTGCCAAATGGTGGAAGTGACATAACTCCATCGCGACCCAAAGTGGTCGTACGTACCAAATATATCGGGCAACTGATAGGAACTTTTCCATCGCCGCCAAAGCCGTGGAAAAGGCCTATATGAATGATTTGAATGGCCCTGAAAACAGGATTTTTTTTCGTCCTGGTACATGGTGGATTAACCTTGAAGCCCTCGAAAGTGATGAATAGGCTCTCGAAGCATACCAGTTGGCGTTGGCAAGACAGCTGGGCATCATCAAAACTTTGCCTCACATTTCCGACGACGACCTTTGGACCGAGACAAAGGCGATCTATTCGTCAAAACCTGTGCTGTTGCTCAGATCCTATGCCCACTCAGCAACTTGAATGCGAAAGCTTGTGTTGCTTTCATCTCATTCCTTGGTAAAATATGTTCAGCACCAAGAAGCTATCTTTTAATATCAAAAGCATTATGGCGATTTTGCAGGAAAGTCGCACGTTATTGCGATGATAAGTCTTCCCATGTTGTTTCATGTAGTTACCAAGTCTCGGTTGCTCCTATGACCCTAACCCTAAACTACCCGCACGGCACCCCCTTTATCAGGCGGTCCGAAGCGCGCCTCCCGTCGACATGCACAGGCATGGCTAGACAATTGACGCCTATGGCTAGACAGCACCGTCAGCTACAAGAGTCAACTGGTTATCGATACTTGCGATTGTGAGGAAGCCCAACGAGGTAATCCTCTCATGAAAGCGCTGCGGCCAAATCTTGAAAGGCTATCCCCAGGTCACCTCCGAACAATCCTCCCGTACAAAACTCGTCCCATCGACGGCTTTCTAACGTCTAATCGCCTGTAGATCAACCCTAGCTCTAGGGATGCCGCTTTGATGGCATGGCTCGAGAACCGTCGTCCCCCAGCGATGCCTCGTGCCGCCAGCTACCAAGCGCTTCCTGACCACGATGAGGCAGAAGACGGTCAGCCCTTGGACGATTCCAGCACACAACTCAATTCCCAGTACAAGAGTCTGAACAAATAACAACCACCTGCATATCGCTGGCCTCTTTTTCAAGGAGAAATTCTTGATGTGGGAGACCTGGTATACTGTCATGATGCAGGCACTGCGCGAGCGCGAGTTGCGATGCAAACGGAAGCCAACCACAATGCGCCATACCAATATTCATGACGGCGGCTCCGTTGCTGGTAATCTCCTCCTCAACGATGCGAGAGGGGCACCAAGTTGAAAAATTCTGCGAGGAACCACGGAAATGCGTGTCCAAGCTCACAGACTCCTAAGAGCAGACCCAACAACCCAACATCTGGGCATTGGCCGCGACTTCTTGGCGGAAACCCGCATCTGCGTCTTTGCTCCGCTACACAATTTCTTTTTATGAAGCCATCACGTTTTATCTGTTGGTTCTTACACGGGCCGCTGGACATAGAGTCTGGGCGTCAGTAGACTCATGCAACGTCGGACTGTGTCCCAGACAGATATTACCCCGGAACTTCGCCCCTAGCACTAGCAGCTCCCAGACCACGACTGAAGACTACATTCACAATGGCCGGATTGCAATTGTTCATTCTCAGCCTTGTCTCCTGCCTCGGACACGCCCTCACACTGTCCCAGCCGCGGGTTACAAACACGACCACAAACACCACGGCGACCCTCAGGGCCAGGTCGGCGCCCCCTTCTCGCACGTCAATCTGTGGATATTCAACGGGAGACCCATCCAAGGCCTGGTCGGCACCAGATGGATACGACTGCCGTGTAGACACTTCTCACGGCCTCTGGGGGTTCTGTCCCACGACCGTCATTGCCGCCCCAGACTGTAGTTTAGGCGGCTACTGCTTCGACGACACCTCCTGTCAGACCGGATGCGGCCGACTTCGCAACAACACGAGGATATCAACGTGGACATGGTAGAAGCCCCCCGTTCCATGTTGCTAAACAACAAAAGGCTAACAAGATGCTGGCCAGCACACCTGAAGACCCTTCATCAAGATACTGTTCCTTTGCGTACCTAACCTTTGGAGTTGATCAGACCTATAGCTACTATCACTGTGGCCCCGATCCCGGCACCGCTCATTTCATGGCGCAGCCGACAGCCGAGATTCCCGCCACAAGCACGGATTCATCCTCCCCGTCCACGCTTCAGGGGCGTCCTTTGTCATCCGTAGCGGCTGCAACTTCGAGCTCTGGCGTCTCCCTGGCTACATCCGAGCCAACGGCCAAATCTAATCCCACAACGGCAGGGGATAACACAAACGCCATTATTGGCGGCACCATTGGCGGTATAGCGCTGGTGTGTGGGTGCGTTATTGCAGTGGTGTATCTGAGAAACGTGCGAGCCAAGAAAACCCCAGCGTTGCCGCCGAGTTATACGAGGGGAGCATCTCGAGAGGCAGGGACTGCGTCGCTGCCCGTGAAGACGGGCGGCTGGGGACCGAGGGAGCTGCCGGGTCTTGAGGCGAGAATTTGAAGGATACTGCTGAGCGTCTTACCTTGCAGGTGGTTTCATGTCCCTCGTTCCTTGGGATTCCCAAATCACACTATAATTTGTATACATCTCTGCTTTTTTAATAGAGTAATAAGAATGAGCGTATAAAATCATGGGTTCTGGTGGCTACACTCAAATGCTACTTCTTGAACAGTTTGATACCAAATCCGTCGGGATGCCTGCTACAAAAAAGTCTATAGTAGTTGTGCATGACTTTGTAGTTTGTTCCGTGAGCCAAATGGACGACGTCCCAGCACGTAAAGAGTCTTTACTATTTAAGCCGAGTGTGCCCATTCTATTCAAGCTAGGAGATAAGCTGTTCAATCAATTCTCTATAGTAGACGTCATAATACATCAGTACCGAACGACGCGATTCGGCCTGCCACCGCGCTACGCTATCAAAGACACCCGCGTTGTCGAAGCACGTCGCCATGCTGCCCTAGGACGTCGCTTCCTCCCTTTTCAGCCGTTCAATCAGCTTGCCTTCCAGGAACGGACTCAGTCCCAGACTAGCAGCATATTGGAATTAGCAATATCCAGCCCATCAGTACATGCAAGACTTACATTCCCTCTCGCGTCACGACGCGGTATGTTCCGCTCGGCTGCACCCTGCCGACGACGTCGCCATGCCCATCCACCTCAACGCTGCCGAGGATATCTTCGGGCCACGCGATTCTTCCAAAGTCCGGGGGGTTTCTGCGATCGCTCAGATGCACCCAGCCGCCCTTGCCGGCACCACCGGCACCGCCCTGAGCACTCGCGCCTCCGGCTCCAGAGCCGCCGGCGCCGCCCCCCGCCCCCTGCTTGCGTGATGATGCCTTTCTGGACCGCTGTACGTTAAAAAAGACGCCGCCAGAGCCCAAGTTCGACCCGCCTGGGCTGGCAAAGGCCCTGGCTTGGCTGGTTACATCTTCGTCCAGGTGGCCATACTCTGTCACCACCTCGTTGAGTATATCGAGGAATCGGTGATTTTCCGAAAAGGACTGCGGCGTCGGGGGGATTACGGCGGACGTTCCAATGGCGAGTTTCGGAGATGGTGGATTCGTATCGAGGTATGTGAGGATATATGTCGCCGGCGATGACGGGTTGTCAAAAACTCTCTGGGCTGGGCGTTAGAGCTTCCGTGCGGAATGGGAACCAGGGGAGGGAGCGCACAATGCGTGAATTGTTCGGGAGTGTTGATACGGTCCGTCGCCAGATGCCAAAGCTCCGGGGAGCAAAGCGAGTCGCTGCCAGCATTGCGGGCGAATTCCTTGGTGACGAAGATGTCAAGCTCTGAAATTCTTCAGACATGGATGCGAGCTTCAAAGTGGAGCCATTATGCCGTCACTGCATTGACAGCTGCAGGGTGACGCGAAGACCCCGCGACCCCAAAAATATGCATCTAACAGAAATCAATTAAACCATGGACGCGTCTGGTCGACGCGGTCCACGCCAACATCCAAAAGTATCCAGCCGACCACAATTCGGCCTGTAGCTTGTCACGCAAGCATCATCGCGCTTTCGGATACGAGCGTCGAAGCCAATGGGTTGATACTGGCAATAATGGACAAACCACCGGCACCCATCTTCCGACGACAAAACGCCATACCATCCTCGTCCGCGATACCATCGTCGTCGCCGGCGTTCGGCACTCCCGTCCACCCTCCAAGGCCATTCAATGTCCAGGCCCCCAAGGCCGCGATTCTCCCCATCATCCTTCCGCCGGCCACCCTGCGGCCCCTCGCGTTTCGCACATTTACCAAGAAGCACTCGTTGACCCTCACATCATCTGCCCTGCAAGAGCTGGCCTCCTTTATCGGGAGACATTGCGGCTCGGGATGGCGCGAGGAGGGTCTCGCCGAACGTGTGCTGGAGGAGGTGGCTCGGGGTTGGAAGAACAGGAACGGCGGCGTCATAGTCGAAGGCACAAGTAAAGAGCTGCACGATATCCTAAAGACGCTCGAGGGCAACATGAGCGGAGGAAAGATTGTCGGACAGGCAAGAGGTCTGCCGAGAGGCGACAGCATGCTGGAAGTGCAAGACGGCGACGCCATCAACACAAGGCTCGGCATCCGACCGACTGCTCTCACGAGGGAGGACAGCAACGCCAGTTTCGGCATGTCGGGACTGGGGGTGCACGAGGAGGCGAATGACGACGACGACGATGACACAAACGATCCGCGGGCTTGGCTGAATGTTGTCAATGCCTTTGAGCAGCCGCGGTTGGTCTATAATGTCGGCAAAAAACACTTTGAAAGGCGAGATACCATGTCTACATGTAATCTTTACACATAACAGCTATTAACAACCTGCAGGGAAACGACAAAGCCATCGTTGCTCCCACCCGCCTCTCACAAAACCACCGTGTTCCGAAATCGATATCAAGTCATTCACCAGCGTCTACTACGCAGCGAAGCATTCCAGACCTCGTCAGTGTCGTCGTCCCGCAAACGAGCCCTCCAACGCTCCCTGTCCAATCAACAATCACTCAAAATCACACCCATCGCAAACATGCTTGGCCGCCATGGCAGCAACCACATGCTCCTCGGCCAACTAGTCATCCTACCCACAGGAGATCTTGCCATAAGCGATCTCACCGGCACAATCGCCCTTGATCTCGGCCAAGCCGTCGCCATCCCCCAAGACTCGGCGTGGTTCTGCCCCGGGATGGTCGTCCTAGTAGACGGCGTGTACGAAGAGGAAGAGGAGTCCGTCGGCAAAGGCCTCAGCGGCAGCAGCGGCGTGGGAGGAACTCTGGGCGGCCGATTCCAAGGCTTCTTCATCGGCCAGCCGCCGTGTGAAAAGCGCCAGGCAACACTGGGCATCAGCGGCCCGGAAGGCGGCCAGGACCACACCATCGGCGGCGGCTTCGGCTGGATCGACTTCCTCGGGGTCGGAAGCGAACGAGCGGTCGGGGCCAAGATGCGCCGAATCGAGCGCCGCCTCATGCACCAGCAGCCGTCCCAAGACGCCCCCGGTCGAGGCCGCGCCGTCGTGGTCGGCGAGCTCAACCTCGACCAGCCGCGCGCCCTCCAGGCCCTGCGCAAGATCCTGTCCCTCTACGCCGCCGAGCCGCAGGGCTCTGCCCCCGTGACGTTTGTGCTGGCGGGCAACTTCACGCAACACGCCGTCATGGCCCGTGGCGGCAGTGGCGGCAGCATCGAGTACAAGGAATACTTTGATGCCCTGGCATCCGCGCTGTCAGACTTCCCCACGCTCCTGCAGGCGTCGACCTTTGTCTTCGTGCCCGGCGACAACGACGGCTGGGTCTCGTCCTTTGCCGCCGGCGCCTCCGTGCCGCTGCCCCGCAAACCCGTCCCGGACATGTTCACCTCCCGCATCCGCCGGGCCTTTGCCACCGCCAACGCGGACGCCGGCGGCGGCCACGGCGTCCACGGCTCCGCGGTATGGACCTCCAACCCGAGCCGCCTGACGCTCTTCGGGCCCAACCACGAGCTCGTCCTCTTCCGCGACGACCTGTCGGCCCGTCTGCGCCGCACATCCGTCGCCATGAAGCGCGGCGCCAACGACCCCGAAAGCGCGCCACCAGAGGACGAGGACCCGGCCGCCCACGACGCCATGCAACTCGACGACGCCCACGAAGCACCCGCAAAGCCCGGCCCCGTCGCAGACGACGTGCGCACCGCCCAGAAACTGGTCAAGACCCTCCTCGACCAGGGCTACCTCGCGCCCTTTAGACAGTCCGTCCGCCCCGTGCACTGGGACTACTCCTCCTCGCTGCACTTGTACCCGCTCCCCACGGCCATGGCCCTCATCGACACGACGGCGCCGCCGTTCTGCATCACCTACGAGGGCTGCCACGTCATGAACCCCAGCAGCGTGCTGGTCCCGGGGCGCAAGGGCGTAGCCAGATGGATAGAATACGAGATGGGGCGGCAGGGGAAATTACGCGAATGCACATTATAACAGCCATCTTAATACAACTATTTCAAGAAGAAGAAAAACAAAGTATATCAATATCCAACCGTGTACATCTTTTTACCCTATCCAAACTCCAAATACATAGTCCATCTATTCCAGCAGCAGCTCATCTTCGCCCAAAACACCAAACAGACTCTCAATCTCTCTCTCCACCTTTTTCAACTCGGCCGCCACCTGCGCGGTAACAAGCGTGTACGCGTACAGCAGCGCGTAGTCCTTCTCCTCAACCGCCTCCATTCTCTTGTTGGAACCGTCGTCCTCTTGACTCCGCATGTGTTCCTTGCGGAACTGGTACATCTTGCCTAGCAGCTGGTCCTTTGCCGAGTCGATTGTTGGAATGGCATCCGTGAGCGGGTACTCGAGCATGATGCACGACGCGAGGACCTGCAGCACGTGGCAGATGCGCTGGCACAGCCGGACACGCTCTTCGGCGGTGAAGACGAGCAGCGCGCGCTCGCCCGCCGACACCGTCTCGTGGCGCTGCGTCAGGAGGCGCATCGCGTAGAAGCCGTCGAGCATGTGTTTGGTCGAGTGCATGATGCGGGCGTAGGCCGCGTCGGGGAAGGGCCCGCGCAGCTCGAATTCCGACTTGGCCGAGTTGCGCAGGGTTTCCAGCTTGAACGCTACGCAGAGCAGTTTTAGTTAAACCGAATCTGATTAGTGGCGAAGAGGCCAACACTTACCGTATCGCTGGAGGGCTTCTTGCTCCCCTTCCTTCATGTAATCCAGCGTGTTGTTACTCTTGAGGAGAATGCTCAGCGGGCCTCGCTTCCAAATCAGCCCCAGCTGGAGGTAGAGCACCGACAGGCCCTCCTTGAACTTCTTGCGGCCGGATATCGGCCAGAGCAGCCGGCAGATAATCATGCCCCAGATGATGCCCAGCACCACGGCCACGACTCGGTGGTAGGCAATGTTGAAAATGAGCGGGTTCTTGCCGCCTTCGTCGTCGTCGTCGTCGTCCACGTCTAGGGATATACTGTATGCGTAGAGGACAATGACGTTATACGCTAGGAGGGCGATGCGACCCAGTGGGCCGTTCTTGACGACGAGAATCATGTAAAAGTTCCAGAGCGCCATCAGCCACCCGCATAGGGCGAGGACGTACGCGTTGCCTTGGCTCGCTAGCCATGACACGCAGGCGCATGCTGCGCCGATGAGGGTGCCGATGAGACGAGATGTAGATGTCGTGTTTGACGCGCCAGTCGTCATACCCACGACAATCATGTACGACAGCAGACCCCATTCTCCTCGCCACTGCTGGTACAGGGGTCTCGTGGCGGGTATGAAGGCGAATTGTGCCCAGAGCACAGCCCCAATGCCGACCTTGATACCGAATAGGATGTCTTCGCGGGCTAGGAACCGCATCACCCCGAGCACCTTCTGGGACAGTTTGCGCTGGAAGGAGCTTGCACTCGGCGCTGCATCCCAGTGGAAAGAGTCTCGCCGTTTTCTCATAGAATCAGGGATGCCCTTTGGGACTGCTGATTTCTTCAAACCACGAACGGTGGTCTTTCTTTTTTGGAGGAGAGATTCGCACTCTGGGTCGTCGGAGAGGGTTGGCGGCAGTGTTCGTTTCCAGAATTTGAGCCACTCCCAGCTGCGGGAGTGTGATTCAGTGACGTGCTGCAGCTCCTCGAGTACATCTAGATAAGAGTCCATTTCGTCTGCTACAGCTTGGAGACTAAAGGAAAAGTGGCCACAAGCTGCGGCGACTTCTTCAATATCAGCCTGGATCGCTGCGGACCGTGAGCGCTCGAGCTCCACTGTCTTGTAAAGCTCCTGCAACGCGTTGCTTTTTGCACGGTTGAACAGATTTATGGCATCCCGCAGACTCTCCCGAAGGTGGTCGTTGACTTTAACTTGTGTCACTGGGTCGTCTCCAAAGGGCGACTCTCGAAGCGTTTCAGAGAGCGTGTATGCTAGAGACTTGAGAGAAGGGCCAAGCATAGTTATGAATAGCGAAAATATGTCGGATGGTGTTCGGAACAGGGAAGAGCTAAAAAGCGTGGGCTCACTTTGCGCAAGCAATGTCAGCCTTTGGTCCTCGTCATCTTCTTCAATGACAGACAAGGAGTCGCCGGTACTGTCCAGGATGAGCGAGGCGGTTCGCCGAAATTTTGGGGACATAATGGATGCTCCGGGAGACAATACACCAGGTTCCTGCGAGAGCACGGGTGCTTCGCTCAAAAGTGCGATCTGAGTTGATAGCGAACTTCGCAAACCACCAATGGCCTGATACACAGACTCGACAGCTTTGAAGAGACGCTTATCCAGCTTATAGATCTTTTCTCGGCCCATGAAATAATGCTCTAGTTTGGCTTCGCGCAGACTCTTGGACATTTCCGTATAAGCCGAAGTGAAATTGCTTCGTACCTGAGCGTAGACTGGCGAATTAATTTCGTCTTCAGTCCCATTCAAGAAGCCCCTTGTGATGATGGACAGTCTGTCGCTCATGCATACCGACGCTGTGACGACCGCCTCGCGCAAAACTCGTCGGGCGGAAAGGCGCCATACCAGCAAATTAACGGCCACGGAGAATATGATGCCCACACACAGCATCTTGATCACCTGGACAATCTTATCTCCAGAGAAGAAGCCGTCCTGCACTGACTGCTCCTTGGTAATGACGGTAATAATGGCCATGGACGCAAGTGTTGTAGCCACGTTGACAAGAGGCTGGTTCAGTCTCTGTTTAACCCATCCAACGAACCCTAACCCTCCCCCAACAAAGATGATTAATACGACGGCGTGTGCAGGGACGACAGACCCCGTGCTCGTTCGCGAAGCAATTCCCGCAACCATGGACAAGGCGCAAACGATATCCGCATACGCCACGGCAATGAGGGCTATGAATACGGCTTCTAGCATCGATCCTACGGTACGCGCTGGGTGGAAGTAAACCGTCAGCGTAGCAACGATGTGTTTGCCGTCTCGGTGGCCAAGGAAGTCGGACAGAAGAGGCCAGAAGGTAGCAGTGCTGCCGAGGAGGTACGCCAGCGTACACTTGAGCACTTGGTGGCCGTCGCGTGAGTTTAGCCATTGCCAAACGGACTTGGCCCTCGCCTTTGCGACGCGTGCCGACCAGCGAATGCTGTCGGTAGCCTGTCCCATGGACGATCGTCGTTCCAGCCTCCTGCCGGTGCTGCCCGATGCTATGCTGCTTGATGTTCGGAGGGTGAATTGGCGTCTGGAGCGTTCGCCGGTGGTAGGGATGACAAATGTGCCGTTGCGCAGTTTCTATCCAGCATTGCGATTAGCCCCCAGGACAAGAAGACGGCTGCACAAATACATACACCCCTCTTGGACAGCCGGGCAGGCGGCCATGGGCCTGCCGAGGAGCTGTCGCCGGAGCTCATGGCGCTCGAAAATCACGTCGTGACGTAGCGTTGGGGTGGTTGGTCGCGTTGGATGCACGAAGAGGCGTCGTCATTGTTTTCAGCTCGCGTGAGGATGACCAAGCTCTTGGTTTGGCTGGACCGCTCAACGTCTTGCAGAGACCTTGCCGCGTATAGAGATTTGCCTTGCCATGCACGTCGGCATGCCAAGTCGGTGAGGATGCGGCACGACCAAGCGACGACGGTCGGAATTGTTGGACAACAGGAACATTCAATGTTCAAGTTCAGGTACGGACATGGAGTACCGACGAGTTTGGTTGGGCACAAGTGCACCCAATTCGGCATTGAGCCACTACAAGTACGTACTCCGTACAGGGGTAGCTCTCCACCATTCAGCCTCAAGTGCTCCAATCTGCAACCACATGCAGACGTTGAATCCCCACACCAGCTCCAACATCGTTAACGCTTCCAACTTCCTGGGAATCGATGGGAATCGACATGGCTGCCACCGCCCGCGTCTGTCATTACTGGCAAGTCACTCATGGAATATATTTTCAAGTCACACAATATGGACTGACAATGGCAAGGTCTCAAGATGCTCGTGCCATATGCAGAATTACCCTCCTACAGTATCCATGACCGAAAAGGCAACATCACCAAGGGGAATGGGTTTATTTTCGCACTCTAGGATGGACCGCACACATCGCGGCCGAAACGACCAACCTAGATCCTAGATTGGGCAGCCTGAACTGCGGCCTGGGCACCCAGAATAATGGCCCCAACATTGAACCTATCCGGATATCGCTTCGTCATGGCACCAACCACGTCCCTCGCCGACTTTGGGTTCCCCTTCAAAACGTCTTCAAACGCCCGGATATACTCCTTGGTATTGTCCAAATGCCACCGCCCCAGAATCTCCCCCTCCTGGCAGTGCCCCGGAACGACGTGCAGCGGATCCAGCGCTTCCACCTTCTCGACGGCTCTGATCCATTCCGCCCTCTTGGCAGGCGTGTTCGTCTCCATCAACATCTGGTGCACCTGGCCGTACACCACGTCCCCGCAAACAGCGAGCCGCAACGCAGGCACCCAGAGGACCGTGGAGTCGTACGTGTCAGAGTGTCCCACCTCGACGGCCTGCAGCTCCCACTGATTGAGCGTGAACTTGTTGTCCCGCGGCAACGGCTCAGCCAGGACAAACGGCTGCTGGATCTCGCCGGGGAACCGAGAGTCCCACTGGAAGCGAAAGACGTTCTCTTCCACCTGCTGCTTCATGTGCTGTACGGTCCCGGCCGTGGCCACGGGCTTGGCCTCGGGGAATTCCTGCACCAGGAGAGGAATGCCGAAGAAGTGGTCGCCGTGGCCGTGGGTGATGTAAATGTATGAGAGTGCTCGGTTGGGCGCTATCCGGCGGATCCAGGCGATGAGCTCCTTGGTCTGGGCGATGGTGATGGGCGTGTCTACGAGGACGGCGTGGGTTGCCGAGTAGATGAGTGTGCAGGAGATGGGGGACCAGAGTCCGCCGCCGCTACCTTTGCCCGGGTTCTTGAACGGGACTGGCGGTGCGATGTATACTGCTGCGCGGAGAGACATGATGGTGATGGGGTTATATGGACGGATGATGTGATGATTGACTGCGGGGACGGAAGAGCTGAAGAGCAGGTGATGGAATACTTATACACAACAAGGGGGGAAGAACCCCTCGATGTTGCCGGTTCTGATGCTGCCCGGCATAGGTGTAGATGTGCCTCGGGTCGAAATGATCACCTCATCAACCGTGTAGTTGACTGGCACACCACCCAGATCTACAAGCGTACCGGCACTTCCCCACAAAATCAGACCGTTGTGTATTTGACGGGGTAAATACATCAAATGGTATGTAATCAGGAAAATCTTGCTCGTGGGTACCATTTTCGGCTGTGAAGTGACAGTTGCTCAGCCAGCTGTCTGGGCGTGGCAGCATGGCCAACCTGGGTTCAGCAGCAAGATGATGCAGTGCGCGTTTGTCTATCGCTCTTTTGCGCCATGTCTGCCCGTGTAAATAAAAGACATACACCACTCTTGAAAAACGATTTTGCCCCAAGCATCATGAACCCGAAGCCAAAAAAGGACGGGATTCTCATAAAATAGCAAGGCCGGATCATACAAAGCATACGGAGGTAGATAAACACCAAGCATCCTTGTCCAGACCCGATTCCAATATTGTGTCTTGTCCATTGGGAGACAGCCAGCCGTTGATACCTGCACATATCAGCCACCCTTACTCACCTCCAAGCGCCCATTTTCCCGCTCCCCAAAACTAGATATGTAGCAATCCGCCATTTGCCAAACCACAACCATCAACCATCCATCATGGCAGCCTCCAAAGCACACCACACCACCCATCTGCAATCCATCAGAGCAGCCCGCCTCGCCGAGTGGGACCCCCTCACCTCCAACCAAGCAGCCAAACCACGTCACGCCCTTGCCAGTCCCGAGCCTCACTCAACCACCATCACATAAACCCGTAGCAGCGTCCATGCGCCGCCTCCTACATGCATCATCAGCAATGGCCTCGGCAGCGCGCCCCCGATTCGCGCCCCTGAAGAAGGGAGCGCCGCCCACCACGGCCCCAAAACTCCAAGGCATCGTCTTTGACATGGACGGAACACTATGGTGAGAACAAAACAAACAATGCAGCCTCCACAGCCTCGCTCCAAAAAAAACCCTTACCAAGATGTGACAAAGCCTGCCCCAAACCCACATGTTCGCAGACATGCGCCGGGCGCTCGGCATCCCCAAGACGACCGACATCCTGCAGCACATCGAGTCGCTCCCCCCGCCGCGGCAGGCCACGGCCAGCGAGGCCGTCCGCTCCATCGAGCGGCAGGCCATGGCCTCGCAGGCGCCGCAGCCCGGGCTCGCCGCCCTCATGGCCTACCTCGACGACCGCGCCGTGCCCAAGGCCATCTGCACGCGCAACTTTGACGTGCCCGTGCGGCACCTGCTCGACACCTTCCTCCCCGCGTCGCCCTTCGACCCCGTCGTCACGAGGGCCTTCAAGCCGCCCAAGCCCGACCCCGCGGGCATCCTGCACATCGCCCGCCGCTGGGGGCTGCCGGGCGCCGCCGGCCTCATCATGGTCGGCGACTCCATCGACGACATGGCCGCCGGCAGGAGGGCCGGCGCCGCCACCGTCCTGCTCGTCAACGGCGTCAACGGGGGGCTGGCCGCCCACGAGTACACCGACCTCGTCATCGAGCGCCTGGATGACCTGGTGGCCATCTTGGAGGATGGCTTCGAGGGACGAGACGCCAGCCAGCGGCGTGACGGGGCGGGCGGCAAGGATGGCCACTTGGCCGATGAGCCTACCAGTGCTGCTTTATAATGTGAAAGAAAGGGAAAAAGTGACGGCCGGCACCTCCTTTGGCTTGATCTAATTCTTAGACTCGTTTTGTCGTATAGATTTACGCATACATTTTAGAACAGACAGGAAAAAGTATGGTTCCATTTTGGGCTCGCTTCTTGCTATCCCAACGCCGGAGCTGCTCAAACTAAAATCACAAATCCTTGCATATTCCGCGTGCACTATCCTGTCCTTGATGACAACTCTTCCCAACAGTCAGTTCCGCCGGAACCTTGAGCACAAAACACATCATGAAAGGACGACAAGCAATGGTCAAAATTCTCTCCTCTTCTTCGTCTTCTTCTTCTTCTTCTTCTCCAAGCATGACGGATGATACACGGGTTTGCTTGAATCGCCTCGCTTCCGCTGGGCACCAAAGAGCAAGAATGTGTGAATAATGGTGTCATAAAATCAATGCGCCGAGTGATGCTACGCTGACTCGCAGAGTTTTGCAGCGTTCAGAGTCTTGTCATGGTGGAAGAGGGGAAACACATGATAGTTCTGCCACGTGGTTTGCTCCATGTTTTCCCTTCTGTTGCCCAGAAGACCATGGTTTCCCATTATAATCCGTAGCTAGGGCTGGGATTGGGGGGCAATCCAAACGTGGCTTGGCGGCGAGTCTCCCTGCGGAAATCATCAGGTGTCTGTCGTCGTGCCAGTGGCGGTGGCATTGGGTTTCCTGGGGGCCCTGCGCGGACTGGAAGGCTAAATGTTGCCGAGCTCGCACTCGCAGGGCCTGACAGTTCCGCATAGTGTGATGTTTGGGGCACTGAATTCGTTGTTGCCACTCTCATTCCCATCCCGGGGTGTGGTACTGAGCCAGGCGTCCTGCTGTTGCCGTTCCTGCTGGGTGAACGGCTAGGTTGATCGCGGGGTGAAATGATTCCAGCCCCGCCAATGGGGATATCACCAGAGGTGGGTGTGGGTGTCATGCGGTCTTCGTTTTGTGCAAAGTAGGTTGGGGAGTCGCTAGACCGAAGAAGATCTTGAGTGGCGGGTGATAGCTGAGGTGCGAGGTGTGATTTGCGGTTGTCTCTCTCCATGAGACCAAATGCCCACTCGCGAAGATCAACAGGAGTCCTTTTAGCAGCCTGTACAAATGGGTCGTGGTCCTGTACACATGTTAAACCCCAAAGAAAATTCGCAAGAGAGTAGATTTTGTCAACTTACATAAAGCTCCTGTGGTGTTGGCCGCTGATCAGGCTGCTTGTAGAGGCACTTTTGAATCATGTCTTCCAGAATGCTAGGGAATGCGTCACTCTTGGGCAATCGTGGCGCCGGCTCGTGCACAATCTGTTGCAGCAGATCCAGAATACCAGCTGGAGCGCAATCCTCGTCAGAAAACTGTTCGCTCGATGCGAATGGGAACTTGCCAATGGCAAGCTCCATGATGGTCAAGCCGAAACTCCACACATCCGATTTGACTGTGTACCTTTCGCCCTGAATTCTCTCCGGGGCCATGTAAGTTGAAGTGCCCACAAACGTGTCGGCAATCGAATTAATCAGTTCGCCAGAAACGCCAAAATCACACAACTTGATAGACCCTCGAGAGTTGACAAGAATGTTGGACGGCTTGATATCTCTGTGCATGATGTGGTGCTTTGAGTAGAGGTATGTCAAGCCTCCAAGGGTGGCTTCGGCAATTTTCCCAAGGACATCAACCCGAACAGGCCCGAAGACTCTCGAAACTCGATCCAGTGAGCTGTGAAGGGTATATTTGTCAGTACAATATTCAAACTTTTGCTAAGAAATCAGATTGCGCGGCTCCGCGGCTCACCCCACGTCCATATACTCCATACACATGATGACATCGTTATTGCTGTTGAGAAATGCGCCGTAAAAGTTGACAATGTAGTCAGAATGGCATCCGTGCATAATCTGAAGTTCTCGGACGATTCGCTTGCGCATTTCCTTCTTTGCCTCGACATGGATAACCTGTGCCATTGTTAGCATCGCGGCGTGGTTGCAGTGGGTTGGGGAAAGAACCGACCTTGCGAGCCATTACCGTGCCAGTGGTAAGGTGCTTGACTTTGCTAACGGTGCCTCCATTTCCGGATCCGAGCTCCTTCATTATTTCCAGATCTTGGGGCCTCAGGTCCAGCTTGTACTCGATGCCAATCTCGAGCTGCTCGTCTTTGTTATCATCTCTGCCGCCGTCAGCGCCGGACCAGCTTTCCGCAGTTGGCGGGGGTCGCGGGGCTGCGGGTGTCAGGGCAAGACCCTTGACATTCTTGCGCTTCATCGAGCGCGGCGCGAACGGATCAGCCATGGTGTTGAATGGCACTCGTCAAAGGAGCTCTAGAGCTGGTGAGCTGGTGCTGCTGTTCCGGACACTGTCGCTCTCGTGGAGCGGCGGGGAAGTAATAAGGGACTGGCAGTTGGTTTTGGTCGGTGGGACAGTCTCGAGAGGCTCAGACAAGATATGTGCTCGCTGGCATTCCCCCCTATTTGCTTCTGCGGAACAAAACAAAGGCGGGGCGTCAATGGTAGCGAGATATCGTTGCAACGTCTCGGACTGTTCGGCCGACAGACGCAAATATGACGAGAGCTGAGACCAGATTGCTGCCGACGATGGGTATGATCAAGGTTGGTATGTGAAGTGTAGTCGGGCTGAGGCAAACCTTGCTCAAGGCCGTAACAACTCGCGCCTGGCTTGCCGCTGGGGGAGGACACTGAGCAGTGAGGGGTGGCCACCACTTTGAAGTTGGATCACACACACACACACACACACCCACACGCAGCCGTAGCCTCAAGCGCCAAGTCGAGGGGTCTGAGTCGGTGCCTGGCCTGCTGGCTGCGTTGAAAGACGTGGAGGAGTGCTGGAGTGCTGGAGTGCTTGCAGGACTCGGCGCTCGGGTTGCTCGATTGGTGGGGTTCCTCTGGGTCTTGGACTCGTGGCGTCTCTTTGGGTGCTTGGGTCCCCTGGGTCCCCTGGGTCACCGGGGGCTATTGGGCGGTTGCGAAATGACTCGACCGACGTGCCTCTAAGTATGCAACTACTACGGAGTACTCCGTACCGCTACCAGGTACCCGTAGTCCGTAGGCCGCAGGTACATGCTTGACAGACAAGGCCGATATCTGATGGCCATGAAGTCTTGCGGCACGGAGTGATTTTGGCTGGCGGTGGGACTGTGATGCCATCTATTGATATGTCGTAGTGGTTTGGCACTGATGCGCTCGGGGCCCCTTTGCTCCTTTGCTCCTGCAAGTCCAGTGCAAGTCGAGCGCAAGTGCTGCGCAAGTGCAATCCAACGCACGGCAAGCGCAATGCAAGCACAAGGCGAGGTGGGGTTATCTGTGGTTTCCCATTTGTGATTTGTGAGTCGGAGGGCCCCGAAGGGCAAGTGCGACGGTGAAGGTGAGCGAGCATGAGCATGAGCATGCCGTGCGAGAGAGAGAGGGTACTTAGTGCTTCGTTAGTTACTCCCCAAGTCCCTGAGTTTCTACCGCTGACAACACGACGGAGACACCAACTCGCGAAAATGGCACTCGATTATCGAGCCCAGCCCGCAAGCCAGCGTGGCGTAAAGAGGCACAGGACCCAACTTTGGCCCTCGAGAAAGAAGGCCGTCGATTCAATGTTCGGAATCTAGAATGGTGCCCAAAGCGGCATGGTCTTTGCCGTCGTTCATCTTTTCATCCACCACGACATTGGTCTGGTTGGTACCCGACCCCCCATCATGGTCGCATTGTATCAAGTGGTTGCATGATAATCTATCAGGCATGCCGTGCTTGTTAGCCAGGCACCTCCGGCCCGGCCGCAGTTGTCTCTGCGTTTCAGACGTGGTCCAATCCGGCCTGTTTAGCACCAAAAACAACCGTCACGCATCAAAGGACCGAAACGAATATCCGTCGAACCGGACTGAACGGGACCAAGGGAACGGCGACAATCTTTGGTGCCTGTGTCCCAAGATCGCCCGCTACCCGACACGTGCGACACCAGCAAGTCTTTATCCCCTTGCAGCCTTGGATCCCCATGCACAGCCAGCGTTTGAGCACCATCAAGCAGCCATGCTCCCAAGGCTTGTTGGCAAATGCAACTGTCTTGCATGCGTCTGTCCGCGCGCTTGTCAAAAGTCAATCGCGGGCTGCAGAAACGGTCGCATCTCCAGACAAGATTGGGGGCCAACAGCCTCGCCAACCAGCAGCCCCTTTCATTGACTTGATGTGGCCGCGCGACGTTGGTGCCCGGCGTCTTGAGGGAAGGCCATGACATAGGGCGGCGTTAAGCCACTCGCCACTGCTCGTTGGGCAATTGGATCTTCACTGTCTGTGGACATGAGCTGTGTACTACACCTGCTTGGCTAGGCTTTTGAATGGCCTAACAGGTCAGCGGGTAATTTGCCGTGCCCATTGGTTGTGTTGCTGGCGTATCTAAGAGATGAGAAAGCAATAAAGGATGAAAGTACACGCCAGCTTGCTGTCCCTGGCTGTCCCTGGTTGTCCCTGGCATGTGCAGTCTCCTTGGTAAGACAACCCCGCGACGTCATCGTGTCTGGTAAAACCTCTTGATGCGCAAAATCCCTTGTTACTCGCATCTTGAGCCTGTCCTATTTTCATGATGGGGATCCTTTTCATGCTCTATCAGGAACTAATGGCGGCAGACCACCCGTCTACCAGAGAACGACTAGAGAACAAGGCACGTGGTCCTAGTAGGCATCGCCGCATTGCAACGTGAACGCAAGGGGCATCGACAAGAAATGGCGCCAAGACAGTACCTCAGGCAATCTCAACTTCTCCTCGCGCAAAGTCGTCCAATATCGTCTTCTTCTGCAACGCCATAAGTTCCATCTTACCCTTATGCCACTCACCCCTCTCAACATTCTCTTCCGTTGCCCATCCCCAGTCACAATGCTCGTTGGGATCCATCTTGATGGCCTTGTCAATGGCTTTGCGCATCTGCGCGGCATCTAAGCCATACCCTTCTCCCACATCGACTCCAAACGTAAGCTTGCGCCATATATATCTGCCTTTGACTGTCC